TTTCAGGTTACCAAATACATGTTTCTAGTTCAATATCTATAGGGAGCAAATGTGCATTTATCTTTATATATAGGTTTACTAGATATCCTGCATATGTCATATCTATGATTCCAAAAATTGGAATCGAATAGAATTATAGGGAATCACATGAGGTTCAGAATACTTTTAAAAATGATAGTGGAATATACCTCACCTATTAAATTTAATATAAACTTGAGAATCAAATACAGAATTGAAGATAATCATTAAAATTCTTAATTATACCCAATAATCCTTAATTATATCCAAGTTTAGTTAGGCTGCATGAAGATAGACCTCTAATCTTCCTGACAACTACAAGCTAAAAATAGGTTGAAGCATGGAAGGTTGCATAAGGAAAGGCTTTTGATTTAACTCCAGTAAAAGCCCACAAAATCTTAACCCAAACTGGTGATGGCAGACTTTGTTATACAATCCAAAAGAAGTTAATTATAAACCGATCTATCCCAATCTGAAGCTTGAGAATCTATTCCATGAGTGATGTTCTTTTAAACTTAAATAGACCAAAAGGACAAAATGTTATCAGTCATAGGAGATGACAATCTAGATAAAAATCATTAAAACCAAATAAGTCTAGTAAGGATTGTTAAGATTAAACCAGAATCCAAGCAAGAATGCCCATTTCACAAGTGGTGAAAATAGTAGTGCTACACTATGCTAGTGGTATATCTTGAGAATTAGTAATAATAAATAATTGAAATGACTAAGATTAATCTCTATAATAACATCTTATACTATATTGCTCTCTACAATATGGATTTAGTAGATTAGGTGAGTTTTAAACTAGTGATAGGATTCCTCCCCTGTGGAAAGTGCCACTTGATGTGTGGGCACATATTTGAGTATTTAAATAAATGTATAATTGGGTTATAAGTGGTTCACATAACTAGTCTTATAGCAATATAGGTACTAGATAGTATTAATTTATAAATTAGCTGTAGAGACATAACAGATATTCATGTACCAATTGATTTCTGATTAATTTGTAAAGATACTTAGTGTCTGTCTGGATATATAAATATATCAATAAAGATTACATGCCTTGCACATATTCCATTTTAAATAAATAAATAAATATATATATATATATAATTTTCAATTAATTTACTATTATTTTAATAATAATACAATTTCATTATATATATAGTATAAAAAAAATAAAAAAATATTTAAATAATTATGATATATAGTAATTGTATTTTGTTTAATATTTATATTTTTAAATTTGATAGTTAAAGTTAACTAAAAATCTTTGAAGTATTTATTAGAAAATTCTGAAATTAAATACTACTTAATTATTATGGCTCCTAAATTTGATAACAAATATTAATTAAAAGAAATATTTTTTAGGAAGTATATATCTTTATTATAATTTTTTCATTATTAATAGTTATATAAGTTAAAAGTTAAAAAGTGATAAGTAAGTTTATTAAGACCAATATATATACTGGTATAAGTATTGATATTATTATTTTTAAATTATTATTTTAAATTATTTTATTATTTTATTATTTCTACTATTAGTTATTTAATATATATAGCATATTTAGTATATTAAGTAAATATGACATTTCTGTTAAGTATAACTAATATGTCAAATTAGTTTGGTTAATCAAAACAATCTGAGTAATCTAAGTGATCTGATTAAATATATAAAATATATATAACAGAACTAATATATTTTGTTTATTGTTTACTTCTATTTTTCTTAAATTTCAAACATATATAAATAGAACTGTTATTTTTCTTAACTATTTATAGAATTTCTTAACTTTTTCTAACTTTTTTTAATAAAAATTTACTTGAATTCATAAATTAAATTATTATGTTTTTTGCCTTGGAAATAAATTTTATTCAATTTTTTTATTTTACCAATATTAATATATCACAATTGAGATTATTCTTATCTAAATTAAGTGATTTCCTACTACTGTTATCTGTTGATTTATTTAATTTTAAGGTTTATTAAATATTAAATAGGTTAACAATATAAAATATTATAATCTTAAATAATCTGAATATATTATCTTCTTAACAATTTAGAATAAAAAATATCAGGATATTCAATTGTTCTACAAATAATTTTTGCAAGATAAATATAATTGAATTAGCAGGTTAGATGGTTTAAAATTGATAACAGGATTTTCACTTTTTGATAATCTTATCTGATATATTGTATTAGTTTATCTTTTTAATAATAATTAGTATAATTAAGTTATAGATATTAAATATAAATTAAATCTGTAAAAAGGAAACTGTAAGATGTAAAGTTATAATTGAATATTTAATAAAATCATGTATTGTAGTATCCTTCATCTAAAAAAAAATTTTCAAGATATAAGTTTTTGAAGTAATTGTTATTTTCTAAAATAATAATCAATATAATTTTATTTAAATTATATTTAATACTATTTACTTTAAGAAATAAGTAGAGTCTTTTATAAAGTAAATAAGGATTAAGCCATTAATAAAATATTATTTATATATACAAGAATACTATAAAAGATTGTTGATATCTTGTATTGATTATATATTGTTAAGACTATTAAATTATAAAAGATTATTTAGAATAGTGATAAAGGATTTTTTTTTATCTAATCCTTTAGATATCATAAGTTTGTTTATAATATTAAAGTTTATTGAAACAGGAATTTCTTACTTACTAATTCAGATTTTTTGTCTTTGAATATTGCCAGTTATTGTTTTTCCGTAAGATACTGTATATCCAATTATTTTTCAATTTATAATGTTTTACTTTAATTTGTTGTTTTTACCACATAATCCAAGATTTTGCAATTTTATATTATCGAAATGTTTTTTTTAAATTAGAATTAAAAAAGAATTCGATTAAAAACGAAATTTTTATATTTAACATAATGTTGAAAAAAAAGGTACATAAAGCATACAACAAAAACAAGAGTTACGTGTATTGTTAAATATAGTATCTAAGAAAGTAACAAAAAAAAGGGAGGTTTTTTTAAAAATATACAATAACATACTTTTTATTATAAAGTGATATATAGAAATAAGATTTTTAAACCTTTGTTTATATTTATTGTAAATTATTTTAAATTATTTGTATTTGAATTTAAAAAAAAAATTTTTTTTGAGACACGTTGCATTTATTATTTTATGATTTTTATAATGAAATTCAATAAATAACGAAATAGCTAACGCATCGAGTGTTTCAAAAATGATATCGATATGGTATAGTATACGGTATATGATGTTTCATCGACAAGCATTTTTCAATGAACGAAAAAAATTAGCAATTACAGTAAAAAAAATACGTTTTTTTTTTCATTTATTGATTGATGGATAAAACGATTTTCATTGGTGGACAATAACGTTCGTTTTCGCGAATGCATTTTGCAAGGCACTGTAATACTGTAGTAATTTTTTTATTTATGTTTGATCAAGTTTTATCCTTATCTATAATAGGTCTTGAGAATGAAACATAATCGATAGATGATTACTCATCTGATATCTAAGCTGTCTTCAAAAAAATCTAACTCGTGATGTTATTACTGTATTTGACTCGTAAAATCCGGATTAATTTGCCAAGATCGATAGGAAAAATTAGATAATAAACGTCAAGGTAAAAACAAGCAAAATAAAATGTCGGGTGCATTAAAAACAAACTCGGAACACATCTTTTATACAATTATTGTTCATTGTTTCTAATTCAAAAATAAACACGCATCAATCTTGATTGATAAAAGCGTATCATGAAACGGTTTTCTCGATTAATTAGTCGTGTCACAAAAACTTTTGGTTATTTATTTCTTTCGATCCGTAATTTGTCCATTTTTAGGACGCATCCAACGTGACACTTGTAATGACGACAGACAAAGTAAAAAGCGAAAAGCAAATAAACTCTAAATTTGTGCTCAATGCTAACTAATAACGAAGTTCTTTATCTACGACCAATTAGTGAATTCGCGTTGTGTAAACAAATAAATAGAATGATAGAAGTGGCTACCTTCTTCCCACGCATAATGTGTATACTAAATGAAGAGTTGACAGAGTACATACTTCAAATGTTATTCGTTAAATATGCCCATAACACATCACATGTCGTCATAACAACCTATCGTTTTTACGTTGCTTTTTATGCATGCATATGTCCGTTTCTCAATAAGTATCACCATTCGATAAAAAAAAATCTTGGCGAAGATGGTTAAAGTCACCAGAGTAATTACATGGCTTTATTTCTCAGAATTCATCGTGACCAAAATCTCAAAAGACCATATATTTATAAACTTTAAGGGATCGACAAAGCAATCTTGCACATGTGCGACGTTATCCTATCTAAACCATTGTTTACTTTATCTGTAGTCATCTGCCTTATGTTTACATGCTGTTTTACATTATGCATCAATCAGTGTTCATTTTATAGCAGATAACAATACAGGTTTTTTTTATCAAGCCCGATTCATTTACTGTGTAATTTTTTACATTTTAAGAAAGATGTACGTAAGAACAATTTATTTTTATTTCACGAAACCCGCACTAATTCCAAATTTTTTCTAATACGAAAAAGAATAATTTCCGGAAACCGTCCGACAAGAATTGTTTATCCGGAGTTTTTTCCTCGAAAGATCGGTGCACTATAATATCAGGTAATGTTTGTTGAACCAAATTATTGTGCTCATTTTAATTTTGAGAGAATAAAAAAAAATTTTTTTGACACCTTTTCCCAACATTCAACATATACTGTACCTCCCTTAGGTGACCGGTCCTATTCTTCTTCAATTATCCTCTTTCAATATTCCTTTTCATTTTCCTTTCCTGGCAGTATTTTGTCTGAAAACATTACCTTCACATTCTTTAATTCCTTTGCTAAAGGTTTCATTGCCTTGCCGAGAAAGCGATTGTCTAACGAATCTTTAATGTGACAGAGGCTTCTTTTAAGGGAACTTTGACGAATATTCATTAATTCAATTAATTTCCGTATCATAATGTCAAGCTATCCAGGAAGCAGTAAGGGAAAAGGGCCCAAAATTCCCCCGCCACCAATTAAATATCAAAAGTCTCATAAAAATATGACATTCATATTCGCACCCGACAGTCATGTTTTTAAAAAAAGTCTAATTGGTGGAGAGGACAACATCTTGGAGGGAATCTTGCACTTGAGTTATGAAAAGCCCACTCAAGTAAAATCCATAAATCTCAATTTAAAATGCATAGAGAAAACCACATTATATGAATCTCTAGGAAGAGCGAATACACTCTTTACTGGTGTTCACGTTCTGATCGATAAGATGGAAAAAATTTGGGAATCCAAAGACGAGAAGTCTGTTGGAAGTTTGGATATTCCGTTCAGGATTTTACTTCCCGATGACCTTCCCGAGGCGATTAGCGCCAAGTATGGACAAGTCAGTTATGTGCTTAAGGCCATAGTTAATCAGAAAAGTTTTTTGGTCGCATCGACACAAACAGTGGAAATTTTATATCCATTGAAAAAATTAATCCTGGACAACACCAGTACATCTTACTATAAATTACGCGGGGAATCCAAAAATGGAATGGAATACTCATTTGATCTGCCACCTAACAAGATCTTTAATATTGGAACATGGGTGCCAATCCCTATGAGAATTAGGTTCTTGACACCTGATATAAGCATAGATCGAATTGAGATTTCCCTAAAGACAAGCATGGACTTTCGATTTGAAAAAACCAAGGAGTACGACGCGTCAATTTAGTGAAAAGGCCATTTCCATGTTGATACCACGTCAAGATATCATTTATCTGCAACCCACTTCCCATCATTATCATGGGGAATGCGTCACCACGATTGACTTTACCGTCCCACAAAACCTACAGCCCTCGTATGAGGGTCGAGTGATAAGTATAACACACCATTTCTACGTAAGATTTTATCTGTGGGATTCGGAGAAAGATTTCACGGTTGAAGAGAATGTTACTGTTGCGTATATTCATGAACCAATCTTACCATCGCGAGTTGGGACACCTAATGGTTCACAATATCAAATCCACCTCATGAATTACTCACCTTCCCATATAACTCCACAGAGCAGTGGGAATTATACCATTGAAGAGGATCCCGATGAAATTAGGGTTGCAACTCCAATCGGTCAATCTTCCACCGACAATGGATCCCTATATATATTTGAAGATCCAATTCCTTAGGTTCGCGACGCGCCATGTTTCTTGTTTTTTTTTTATTCCTACAGAAAAAAACCAATGCATTATGCCACAGGACATATGAATTATTATTCTTTGATTAACTAGCTTATGCCATTCACCATGAACGCTTTATATATTGCTATAACCATATATTATTATTATTATCATTTATTTTAAATATAAGTTGTAAAATGCCTACGAGTAATCATGTTATGATATAACACGAACAACAAAATTTCCGAAAGAAAAAAAATTAATAAATAGAATTGTTCACCTTGTCCGGTTTACACGTGTTACCGTTAATGTACAGTATTCGGATTTTTTAATTAAAGTCGCCCTTATCGTTAAATGTTTGACATACGAAAGACCAACGAACCGATGAATGATAAGCAAAAAGGCAATAGAAAATGAAAGGCCATGATAGTTATTTCGTATATACTCGTGTCTTATCACGCTCGTACATATTACTTTATTAGGATAATGATAGCGATTTTTTGATAAAAATGGCTGCACAAACCAAAAATGGTTATATTCGGGGAAGTGACGGTGCAGTTGCAAACCAGTGCACCAAGGGTACCTCGGCATTATCGTATGAGTTTTTTTAGTATGACTCACGGTTTATTTACTAAACAAACCATTCTGACTCCTTTGCAAAATCATTTGGAATAAAGAACTCGAGAGACCTCTGTTCTACAAAAAGGTTATTTTCTATCCATCATGTCATTGAAAGAAATCCTTTAAAGTTATTACCCACAAAGAATTACGTGACAACACCTGGAGGTTGTATTGGCGATTCGTCGAGTCTACTATAGTCAAAAAAAGTTGAGATCAACTTTGAGATTTTAAAGAATTGTTAAAAATAAGTACAATGGAATGTTTTGCATCACGATAAAGTTGATTACAGGATGACTTATGTAAATCAATAGATCTACCTGACACAGCATGTTTGCTAACGAGGCAGCATACTTGACCATTGAAAACCTACCTTTGGATAGCACTACATGAGTAGCACCTATCTTTCTTATCTGTTTAACGAGACAATTTCTAATCTTATTTGTTAGAAATTCGGAATTCCCGAAAAATGTAAACATTACATTAGCATAAATTATGCGACCTTTCGCGTTTCGAAAGCAAATCAAAATGTATATGATAAGAATCGTTCTACCGTTATAAAATATTGACATCGATTATATTAATTATGATAAATATTTGAATAACAAAAAGATCAATTAAAAATGAAAAAAGTTCTTGCAAAAGACAATAAGATGGTGAGGAAATAATATTGTGAAAAATTTCTACATGTTAGTAATATTCTACCAAAAGTGTCAAAGTTGCTGGTGAATTGCAATACGAAATCTCTAAAAATGTAGATACGTAAACAAATTAAATTACACACTGTATACAGTATAATGACCAAATTTAAATTGGATTTTTTAAATGTTATACGTATAAATTTTAGCTGTATGATTTTTTAATTACAATGCAAATGTCATATTCATATTTGTTTTACTAATTTTAAAATAAAAAATATTTATTTATTTATTTATTTATTTACTTCTAATTAAATTCCCATAAAATATATTTGTTAATTTTTGATCCGAATAGGATAACATCACAATAAAACTATTATGTACAAGCTAAATATTTTTCGAATTACAAAACATCTGTCAATAAGTTTTATAGATTTGTGCACGATCCTTGAATATTAATATTAAACCCAATATATTGTTTATATGATACAACTATTTACTAATTATTTAATTACAAAATTATTATCAGTCTATACTTTAAACTATTATCTTAATATAAATTTGTAATTTTAAAAAATCAAAATTTTTTTCTTGAAAAATATAAAATATTAATATCAAGTTTGTTTTGATAAATAAAAATTCCTTTTTAGTTTGTTAAAATAAATTTTTTATTATTACTATTTGTGCTTAAATCAATTATTTGATTATTATTATTTTATTATTAATCAAAAATACTTATAATAAGACTTATAATAAAACTTATTGTTTTTTAAATAATCTTATATAATAATTTTATATTTATGTTACTTTTACTATTATACAATCTTATTAATTAAAAACAATAAATCAAGTTTATAATACAAAATAAATATCAAGATAAATATTATAAGCAAATGATTAAAAAAAATATAACTAACAATTTTATATTTTAAATATATCCATTCTATTGTTCAAATATAACAAATAAAAAATTAATTTATAAGTATTATAGTTTAATATTTCAAATTAATAACATATATATTTAAAATTTACATAATTATTATAGAAATTTAAAATCATTAATTTTTGTTACAAATTTCTTGTTAAATTAAGATAAAATTTTTTATTAATCTTTTAAAAAAAATATCAATACAAATAAATAAATAAATAAATAACCTATTTTAAATAAAATATATATCTCAGTATTTTACTTTTTTGTAATTATTAATAATATATCAAATACTGTATATTGTTATACAAAATAATATATAAATTATACATCTTTTTAATAGTTATTATTACATATTAATTAATCAATTTAAATATATAAGTAATTATTATTTAAAAGTTTTAATATGATTAAAAAAATAAAGTAAAAACTTAAATAATATAATATTCCGTTTTAAGAAAAAAAATTATATTTTTTAATATTTTTTTAAACTAAAAATATTTGTTTTAAATTTATAAACAAATAAACAAATTCAAAATTTCTTAAGTTATAATATTATTAAAAAAATTTTTTTAATTAGTTAAGCCTTGCTTGATATATTTTGTTTTTTTTGTTTTTTTTTAATCCCACAATCAGGCTAGAATCATTATTTATTAAATACTGAACTATTACAAGTATAAAAATGCTTGTAAAGTAAAAGTTTCTTTAACCTAGCTTACTCATTAATAACTAAAGCCTCCAGATACAATTTATGAGTATGAAATGTTGTTTCTTTATTAAAAAGAATTAAGATTCTAATACTTCAATAGAATTAAAACATACAGATCACCTCTACAGTTATGATCTAGTTAAAATACAACACAGTAAAAAAAAACATTTGATAAAATATGCTATTCAATATAAAGACAAAAAATCATTATATATTATTTACTTCAGATTTAATTTCAAATTACAAATTCAATTATCCAAATCTGCAACAGATATGACATGTTAATATTATAAGATATTTTAAAAAAATTATTATTGTTATATTTTTTTGCTGCCACTTCTAATAAATTCAGAAACTAAAAACTAAATAAAATTAAAGTTCAAACAAAAAATATAAAAAAATATGTCAGAAATCGATGTAATTCTGACAACTCTTCAAAAAAATACTATTTCAAAAATATTTGATCTCTTATTATTTGGTTTAAAATTACTTAGTATTAAAAATATATACAAAATCTTATCATTAAATCACAATCCTAAAATCTATCCCTTTAGTGAACTTAGTATTTCAACAAAGTATTGCAAGTATTAAAAATATCATAACAAGTTATACATTAAATATTATGGAAAAAAGAAAAAACATTTTCTACTTAAAAATTAAGTGGGCTCAGTTAGAAATTAATAGTAAATAGTTAAATAAAAAAAGTAAGAAGGAATGAAAGAAAGCCATCATCAAATTTTTGGATTATAGTTATCTTATAAGAGAAGCATATTGATTATTGACATAAATTAAACAAGATATTTTATGTGAAAGAGCTATATTCAATATGAGACAAAAAATCAATTCAAAAATAAATAATCAAATTCTATTATCTTTAATCAACATATTATAACCAACTATTTTTAAGCCAATAACTGATATACCACATATTATTTATATTAACACTATTACAAAAATACTGAATTCAATTGGAAAGAAGGGACAAATACATATAAGTAATATCTTAAATTATATAATATTATTATATATTAAAGAAGATATTTTAATACCTTAATTCTATATATATTAGAATTTTATATAAAACATTTTAACTATATTGTATAATTTATATTGAGGTATTTTAACTCCTGGAGTTTTAACTTTATATATTCAAGTTTCTGAAAATAAATGAAATGTGAGACATAAAATCAAGCATGTGATGATGACTATAGTATTACTAAATAATTTAGCAGGATTATGAAAACAAATAATCATTATTCTATTATCTTATATATAGATTCAGAGATATATGAATCATTACAAAATGTACTTACTTCTTTAATTTCAGATCTACAGTTATTGCAAAAAAAATTTTTTTAACAAATTGGTGGTAACAATTGATCAATTAAGCTATACTTTAATTCAGATTGAAAATTTCTAGCTATATGTCTTGGAATGAAGGCCACAATATCTAATACTTTTGTTTATAATGTAATTGCTCTAAAGATAACATCAACAATACAAACAAGATGATTATCAAATCAATAAAAATAATTAAAACTAATTACTCTCAAGTAAATAAATACTTAAAAAATCTCTTATTTTATATGATACCTATCTATAATTGGATTTGTAATAAACTATATATTTTGTTAAAGATAACAGATTAATTATAAAAACTAATATTATCTAATATTATTCAAGAACAAATTGAAGAAATAGTTTGGCAAGTTAAATTTTTAAATAAAATAAAAAGACTCAAAATAGATTTTCAGTTTTGATATGAAAAAGGCAATAACAATATATTATATATTTCACTTATAGGACCTAATAAGTTAAAAATTCTTTAAATTTTAATCTCATAGTAATTTTTCTATTTAATATCTGAGCTTCTCAAATTTGAAATCTTTGAAACTAATTCAACAAGTTATATTATTTGTTGCAGAATAAAAACTAATGGCAGAATATTTCATAGAAAAGCTCAAAAATGGTTATCTTCTTTATTAAAGTCATCTCAAGGCCAACTTAATAGAATTGATTTCATTTGAAAAATATATTAAATACAAGATATTATGCCTTATATCTATGTATTAGTAAATCACATACCTGAGTTCTTAGATATTCATCAAGACTTTGA